GAAAAAAATAAACATCAAACCAGAAATTGCTCTCTTCAAACTGTAAATTATAAATGATCCTGAGAGAATATTCAGTGTGTTAAGGATTTCCCTGCTCTACTGTTAGCTCTATACAAGAGAGGAAGGGCGATTCTTTTTTAATTTCGGTTTCGCTGACACAGCTTTCGCAGAAATCTCGCTGTAGTCGTTTTCGTCGACAAAAGGAATAGCAAAATCGCTCTCCGCGTCTTCCCCCATTTTGTTCTGCGTCATTTCGTGAAGGACGCGTGGCTCTCAGCGTGGGTCATCCACGCGGAACACATTCGCGCTATGTGATTGGCTGTTGTCTAATCCCCCTTGAGATCTGTGATGTTAAAAATAACTCGAGACGAATTACCTATGGAATAGGGTGTATATGGGGGATGCCCTCTCTGTCCCCTTTATAGTCTCTTGATTACAGTAATCTAGTTTCGATGTGACAAGTGCATGAACAGCAACTTCTTGCTGATTCTTTAGTGAAATACTTCCTAACTCTAGATAGGTTCCTGAGATGATAAAATGATGATCTACAGATGCTAGACACATGCGCATGAAAAGACATGTGCTCATCAATACATGAATGTTAATTTTGCTTTCTTATCCTGTTGACAGTGCTTCAATGTTAAGCCACAAGAGTGCATGATCCATAAGTGGATTCAGAGCCGGTCCAAGAGGACCCCCCACCCTCTCCCCCCTCACACTAAAATCTAGATCCTTGATATATGGAAACAGAAATGCTCTCATGGTTTTTGAGTCTATCAATATATAATTGCATATTGCAAAGCATATTAATCATTATGCATGTATTGTCCCGTTTTATGTTTAATTGCATATTGCAAAACATATTCAGCATTAAGAATAAAACGGGACAATGATACAAAGAAAAGAAGAAGAGGAAGTGGGGGTCCTAACGACAGTATTATGTTTTCGTAGCTGGTCATCCATCCAGTTCCTAACCCTGCGCATCAGGGAATAACTTAAGTGGTGCTACGAACACTGAGTTTCTCGATGGTTTGTGAGACACGCCAGATTTCCATCATCTATATAGCTGGCACCTGTCCCAGCCCTCTCTGGACATATCCCTAGTAGCTTCAGTGTTTGTACTGACAATTTATCTGCTGTGTGCTTAAGGAAACCGTTGATGCAAAAAACTTCAAATTGCCATTTTTCAGCCATTCTATTTGGAACCTTCTTCACTGAGCAAGTTTAGCCGTCTAATACTGCCACCTCTTATTGCTCCCAGCCAATTTCGTTTATGTAAACACTCACTCAATATGTCGAGCTCCTTTGTGTTCACTTCAGTAACTAACCATTCTTGTTGTTGTGGTGTAGGTCTGATCTCGCCAAGGCAGCCAGTACACTGTACATGCACAACTTAACTGGTGTGTTGGAGACTGCAATCAGGGCCACTAACGCTCAGTATGCTGACCCAGAGATCATTGAACGATTAGACTGCAGACTACTTGAGGTATAGCATATATTCTCAATTAAGTACCAAATTAAGTTATTAATACGGAATCCATTAGGAAATTAAGTAATTTTAATTTTTAGCGGACAAAAACCTTGTACCAGAATATTCTAAGCCATATCGCCTTCTTTTTTACACTTTTCAATGGCTGTAGATGTAATTAGTTACTGTAATAACACCAAAGACATTTCTTACGGGAGCCTGAGAAAATAAATTCAAACTTCCACAGGAATTGAGAAAACACAAGTAAAATCGCCATTCCATTTTGTGAAATTTGAGGCTTTTGAACTTTGTTTTCTGGAGTCCATTAAGAACTTTTTATGGTTGGAGTTATTTCATATAACTTATTTCATTTATAGCCCTTGAAAAGTGTGAAAAAAATGCATGATGCTTGAAATTATTCTGGTCCAAGGTTTTTATCCACGTTCGGAAAATTAAAATTACTCAATTTACTAATGGATTTCGTCTTGATTCTTCAATATCAAATTGTAAATAAATAACGCAATTACCTTTTATGTGTGTAAGCACCACCCATTCGAATAGAGATCAACCAGACCAATCACAGCTATCAGTAAAAACATTCAACAAGTAATCAGCATTTTTCTTCAAAATACAGTTACTAATGTTACTACCTTAAAGACTAGTAAATTATTGATCACAAAAGTGCAAAAGAAGTTGGATGTTGAATGAGTGTCTGCGATTGTAACCTGCCATCAGGCATTGTTCTTTTTTTCCCCAGAGTAGAGACATCTAGTTGACAGCGCATGA